AATCCCCCACATCCCCCAAGCCACGTCCCAGGCATGCAAAGCACCCTCCTGGACTTGTGCCGTATAAGCCCAACTCTGATGGGCTGCAGCCTGGCCTGCATATTATTTCAATCACTCTGGAATTAAAATAGCATCATCATCTAATAATAATAATAATAATAATAATAATAATAATAATAATAAAATTAACTCTATCCCAGCCAAAACCAGGACACAGACTTTGAAAAAGCTAAATCCTGACAAAAATATCACAGTATATCTTCATTTAAAAAAAGGATAATGCAATCTTAATTTAGATTTAAGGGGGCTTATAAAAAAGATGGCGGCAAACTTTTTAGCAGGGCCTGTTGCGACAGGACAAGGAGGAATGGCTTTAAACTAAAGGGGAGTAGATTTAGACTACATATAAGGAAGAAATTTTTTACACTGAGGGTAGTGAAACACTGGCACAGGTGGCCCAGAGGAGGTGGTGGATGCCCCATCCCTGGAAACATTCGACGGGGCTCTGAGCCACCTGATCTAGTTGTCTATTTGCCTGCCCGCGGCAGGGGGGTTGGACTAGATGACCTTTTGAGGTTTAAAGGTCTCTTCCAACCCAAACTATTCTATGATTCAGATTCAACTTTCAGAAGTCACATACAAAAAAACCAAAATCCCTTTCTTCTGGGCAGCTCTATGGACCGAGGAGGTTGCTCCAGGCAAGACCAGACTTTGCTTTTGTTATTTTTAACTTACTTTCTTTGGTTATACACAGTGCCAGAGGATTTTATAAGCCAAGGTTTGGAATCACTGCTTTAAGTTGTAAAAAATACTCTTAAAGCTAGAATATATACATGTGGCTATATAAATACCAGGTTGCTCATTATGAGTAAGCGGTCAATACTTTCCTGCCTACAGTTCCTATTATCATTCCGTGGTCCCACCACGTGTTTTTATTAAGAATGCAGAAGTATTGATGGATACTGTCCACATATTTACACTTTCTTTAATCTGTGTTTTCTAGAAAACTATTGCACTAGGAAGAAGTTCAGCCCCTCTACCAGATCAACGGGCAATGGCTTTAACAGTGTGCATCTCTCCAACAGTTTTCTAGATGAACTGTTTGCTGCAGAGCTGCACTTTCTGCTCTCTGCCTAGTTTCCTTGAATGCTTTCCTTTTGTTCCCTTATTTCTTCTGCTGTTGCCTAAAACCTTGACATAGAGTTTCTTGATTCCACTCCTTACTTAAAACTTGCAAACACAACTTTGCTTATGGTGCTACTTCGCAAATAAACGCACAGCTGCTAAGCCAACAGTTATACACCCTCCCTTTCTTGCAGTTCACAGACTATCCTTTTCTGAAGATGCCAGTTCTTCCCATTGTAGTTTCTTGTGCCTTTTGTATTGTTTTGGGTAGGTGAAAGTAAAATCTTTTATAAATCTTCCTTCTTTCTAGAGCGAGAATACATTTTAAACCGTGCTTGCCCCACCTGCAGATGAAAGTTGGAATAACTCATCCTCTGACCCAGCTTTACCATAAGTAAGACAGACCACCTCTCGGCACTACCCATCGCTGTCTTCACTCTCTGTGGTCTTATATATTGCCTGAGATACAACCGCAATTCTGCCACGGTGGGACCTTAATTCTGGTGTTGGCCTAATGACTGATTGTTCATCAGCCTTGTACAATTAGTTCCAATGCCTGGACTGACACTGAAAAAAAGAAGTCTTCATTCCTATGTATTGCTCTTCACACTACAGCAACAAAAAGCTGGTATCGCTCAGCAATGTTTTTTCAAGTGTTACATACAGGGGGGGGAAAAGATAGAGATTACCTTAAGCTGCAGACTAATGCTGTCCAGTTTCATTACATTACCCTTTCTTTACCTTCACAGTCTAGGGCATCAAGATCTTGAATTCTTGCCCAACAAAAGCAGTTGCTCCAACCAGTAGGAATTTACTAAAGAGACTCCTCCTAACTTTGAGCTATACAGAAAATATAGCATTTCCACTACATTTTAGGCTTTTGCCATTCATAGGCGGGAAGCCATATTCTGGATCACTAGAACTGGAAAAATGTAACACTAATAAAAATGTAGCTTTCCAGAAAAACAAAAAAAAAGAAACTTGAAGCTTACTGGGTGCTGACTAACTTGAGGCTGCTAAATACAGTGATAAAACCTAGCTAACAGAGGGACTTATCTCCCCAAACTTGCTCCTAGTAACAACTGACTTTCTACTTTAAGATAGCCACCTAGGCTGCCTTCACAGTCAGAGCGTGACAAACAATTCTTAGGTTAGGACTTTTAAGAGAAACTTTCTCCTTCTGAAAGTGACTAATATAGTCAGGCTGAATCTCCTTCTGGAGACAGTTCTCTGTCTCCAAACAGAGGAAGCCTAGGTAACTAACTTAATTTTAAAAAGCTAGAACTTAGGCACTAGTCTAAAAGAGTCCTGCCATAAGGATCTAATTCTTAGGTGGGCTTCCATGCTAAGGTAAGTATTTGACCAGAGAGATCCTTACAAGACTGGACTAAGAAAAATAATCTCTAACACCATTATTAACTAATATCCAAGAACCCAGTAATATCATCCTATCTATCGAACATTCCGAAAACTGGAAGTAAAATGGACTTTTAAATATATAACCCTTCTGTTCCATCAGAGAAAAAGAGAAAGAAAAAAGATCCAACTGAATTTCTTTAACAGCAGTCTTCTTTATTTACTTACTAAAAAATCTTGGACAGCCTAGCTTGACAATTATTTGTCATGCTTAAAGCTATTTATGTAGGAAAAGTGTAATTAGATTATTTCCCCTGTCATCAGTTTTTCAATAGAATACTTACGTAGTATAAACTCTTAACATTTGGACTAAGGAAAACGTTTATTGCTTAACAGTCAATTTATGAAATTTATTTTTCACAACATTCAGCCTTTAAGAATTTCTTCATGACAGAAATAAAGCCTTAAAGAATTATTTTATATATGAGCTACACTTAGCCTAACTGGAAGAAGAGAAAGAAAAAAGCAAGTATCCCAAATTCTTTGCAGCTGTTAAATCATGGAAGGAAAAAAAAAATCTAATCACGTCCTCTAATGTGGGTAACGTAAGGGTAATGGAGAAGTATCAGAGAGCATAACCCTAACCTCTGAAGAGCTATCAGATTCATGGAAGGAAACAGACTAAGCCAGGGTATTTCAGAAAATGTATAGAGTCCATTTTCTTGCATCAAGGAAGGATCACTTACATTTAAACGATTCCTAACATATTTCTCTAATCTAGTCTTTAAAATGACGGCTTCCTATACAGTCTCTAACAGTAAAAAATAAGCTTCAGAATAGGTTTGGTTTTTTTTTTTTTTTCACTTTAACCTAAATTCCTCTTGCTTCAACTGAAGACTACTGCCACCTTCTTTGCAGCAACTTCTTACATATTGGAAGAGTCATACATCTTCTCCACAGCCTTATCTAAACTAAATCCCATTTATTTCAATTTCTTCTCAAAGGTATCATTTTCTAGATCTCAGGTTCTTCTTATTACAGACCCTTTCCTAGTAATTCACACTTTAATAAGTTCCCCCTCACATAGTTCTGTAACTTCCCTTTGATCCCACTGCCTGTGCTGCCAGTCATATTCACTTTCCCTGAAGAGACCAACACACAAATTCTGTAGCTTAAAATACTGACTACACTACTGTCTTCCTTTTGGAAGTGCTGGAACAGGTGGTGCTGGTTACACTGGCAGCTCCACTCTTCTACCTCTGTCTTAATGTTTTTTTAGTGATAACATTTGAGGGGCTCAGAGGTTCCCTGCAAGGAGAAATGCCAAGCAAAGAGCCATGAACACGCCTTCTTTTTCCTTTCTCAAAAATTCTGACTGCGTCACGTTATAGGGCGCAGAAGCAAAAGATGTAAACTCCATGCATATGAATTTGATGCGCTGAAATTCAGGAAAACGCCCACTCAGAGACGAAAATATAGAAGTGCAGTATCTTTTGAAAGTAAATGTTACTGACTAGAAATTAGAAGTTTCATTACTCTACAAATGTATCAAAATAAGAGTTATTACTAGACTTTCTGATGAGACATTTCAGAAGAGAAAGACGGGAAATCCTCATTCAGTTACATTCAAGCCACCCATAAATCTATAGGTATGACAAGAAAGTAACATGAGTTTACAGAATATACCACATTTGTATTACCATTTCGAGTGTTAGGAGTGACACAGATCGTACAAGGCTGCAAGTGCATCTCTAACAATTCTTATCTATCCAGCTGAAGCTGTCAAAATTGTTCATCAGAAGAGCCAGAAAACGCAGCAGCTTTTTATTAAAATTCTCATTCACTGTGCAGATTTTGTAAGGAACAGAGATAAGGCCGAGTCACACAGCTAAGAAACAGCTCCTGTGTTTCCCAAATTCAGTATCCCTGAACTATGTGGAGGTTGGTTTTGCTTAACAGATAGAAGGGACCTATGGTCAACATCCCCCTTCTGAGCAGCGACTCTGTAACTACAGCACGATGACTGAAGAGAATTTATAAGAGGCTGAGCAGAACTGAAGAGGATCCCTGAAGTGCAGAGGAAGAAAGAAGTCTAAGCTCAAATTTTCAGTTTTATTCCCTTCAACATAGCAAAGATGTCAGCTACTAATAGACTACGAGTATTTTTTAAATCAATGAAAACTATGAACGTTTGCAGTATTTCCAGGCCAAAATATTACAGCTTCTTGTTTGTACAGCAAAACCAGACACTATTATGATGAGTGCAAAGAGATTCTGTATGAACAAAAAGCATAGATCTCAAAGCAGAAATTTTACACATAGGGGAAGTCCAGCTACAAAACAAAATGTCTCGCTCAAAGCAAAGCAGACAAGCAGGAAAAGAATCCAGATTTCCCAGCTTCCAGGGCGATGCACCAAACTCCCGTTGTAAGGTAATTCTACCTTCTAGCCAGAATGAAATCAAGAAGGAAACGAATAAATGGTGAAAAACTGTTTCAGGTAACTTTGCTTTTATTCATCCGTAGTGCTTCAAAAGTGTTCTCATCTATCAGTTTCAAAATAAATACCTTTTAGCTGTCTCTCTAGGTTCACAAAATAACATGAATACCAATCACTATGGCATTTATTGCTATAAATACAAGACACTGCAGTACTCACCGGTCTTTTACTATGATGTCACCACAGGATTGACAGTAAAAGACGTGATTCTTCTGCGGCTTCAGGCTTTCCCTCAAAGTAAAAACCAAATCTATAGACAGAAGAAGACATACTAATCTTCAAAACTGTGTAAAATTTTCAGTCACTTGTACAGGAAAATCCTGCCAAATACCTCAAACCAAAAAAGATAAGAATCTAACAAACAAAGCAAAATGATGACATTTTAAACACAACCTTAATTCATTTACCTGTAGAAGCAAGTACTTAGATTTAGGAAAAACTTGGCATCTCCACCTCATGCCCCATATTGCTGAGCAGGAATTGTATACGTGAATAATCATTTTAAAGGTGCAAATCCTCTCCACAGGGGAGCGGAGATATAGATATCATTACAGAGACTGTATAAATTAAAATTCAATGCCACTTTTTTGTAATAATATTTCTGCTAATCAGTGTTCCTGCAGTATGAGGGTACATCCCAATATGTAACACAAAATAGTCCAGGGGTTGGGGAGAGGACACTAGTTTTAAATTTTCAGGCAGGTAAGCTACCAGCCACTGTGGTACCACTCAAGGAATAGGTAGTGAGCAATACCCTCTGCAGGCCAGCAAAGCGAAAACAGTCTCACAAAAGCCAGCTCAGACAACTTTTCCAAATTAAAAAAGGAGCTATAAAAGTCTCCGCAGATTATCAAATAACATTAGGCAGAAGAAAAGTAAAACTGTAAGCCTAGCTCTATGTATTAATGTGTTTTGCATTGCCCACTTTCTCACACTTCAGAATCAAAGTATATTCTCAGCACTGGCATTCAGTATTTAAGATTTAGACTGCAACCACAAATGAAAAGTACTTTAAAAGGTTCCAGAATTTCATATAAGAGACAACTAGTTTTGCATACTAATATAAAACATTAAAGGCTAAGTAAGGTTATCCAATATATACGTCGATTACCATCCGGTTCACATACATGTTTTTCACTGGTATGACTTTCAAAGGTAAATTTTTCAAACATCATCTTTGATCTTTTGAAGCACGCCTCATTAATAAGACGCACTAAATGATTTTTGTATAATTGTCAAAGCACGTGCATAATTACAGATTAACGTACAGAAGCAACCTCAGTATACCATCAAATCAACAGAGTATTCCAGTGTGTTTCTGGTGCTGAAACCATTATCGTACATCACACGCTTCACTGGTCATTCCTACTTTAAAACCACACAATGACACTTTTCTGTTATTTAATATATCTTTCTGCGTCACATCCCATTAAATGAATCTAAACATATTGAGCTTGGATGCTGGAATGAAAGAAAGCACCAGCTATACTACCACGCTTCGTACTTATGCAATCGCCTCCTAGACCTGAACTAGCATCGCGGAAATAAGGAAGGTGACTTTGCAGATGTTACCTGCAACATTAACCTCTGCAAACTGAGGCTGTGAGAACAAGCCTCAACACAAAACCACAATCCTTTACAATTAAGTGGTCGGTGACAACCTTAGTGCGATAGCCTGCATGAACCATATTACTGCATTTTCAGCTACCAAGCACGAAATAGGAGGGAAAGCAAGTGATTTTGCAGTAATATGGGAAAGCACGGGGGAAGAACTGAGAGCAGTTTTCGGACTCCTACGCAAAACACACGCTCAGCGACCGCTGTCTCCCTTTCATTACACCACTTTTTGCACTTTCGATTTTTAAAACTGACAGTTTTATTAAATTTTACCAGTTCCTGTTTAAATCTTCAATTCAGAGCTAAGGAGAGCCTTTTAGAAAAAGCAACAGCACGTGCACAGCGAGACCACGAACTCCAGCTGGGTTTGGGGGGGGTTTTCGTGCCGCAGAATCTCCACTTTAAAGTCTCTGTTCGCACGTCACTTAAAACAGTAAGGTTTCAGGCAACCCCAAGCAAAGCAGCCCTTTTTCTAAGCAAGGGGCCAAGCCTTCCCCTACCGGCCAGCGTCGAGCGGGCCGGCACCGCGG